GGGGGGGTAGTTTATTATTATGCTTGTGTGAGTGTGATTGACGCTTGGAGCCTTGATGTCATGACTCGATTACTTTTTTATTACAATTGCCATGCATTGTGTTTTGTGAAATTGGAATGGATGATTGGGTGACTAGGTAGCCATGTGAGTTTTGAGCCGATCGTTATATTCTTGTGTGCCTAATCCCTCTTACCCTGGCAAGTAACATCACAGTTGTCACTAGTGAGTATGATGGAGGCATAGGATTAGTCCACGCCCAAATGTTGATTGTCCCGAGCTTTTTGCTTGTGAGATTAATGGTGTTTGATAGAACGACCCCCCATCCTTTCTTCGTGTCTAAACGTGAGTCGACCTTGTGTCCCGGAGCTCTCGCTTTTTGAGTTCCATTGAGGTTCTACATAGGAGGATTGTGTGCGATTCTTGCTAGGAATGAAAGAGAAAAGAGTAGTGTTGGAATGAGTTCTTAAAAAGGAGCATTGGTTGTTAAAGGTAACGTGGCAAGTGTTTAACTCTCTAGTACCCCCCCCCTCAAAAAGAAAAGAAAAGAGAAAAAGAAAGAAAGAAAAAGAATCAAAAACGAGGTAATAAAAAGGGGTAAATAAAGTAGAGAGTGCCACAAAAGAATCAAAGAGTATGCTCTAAGTGGGGTTTCTTGGCACCCAAGCCATTGAAACCCCCTCATTGTTTTAGAACTCCTTCACTACCTAGTCGAAATGTGATAGCAAGAGTGGACCAAGGAAAAGTGCTTAAAGGTAGTTCATGATGGGTGATAGTTTGGAAGGGAGAAGCAAGGTTTTTGGCCGATGCTAGTGGCCATTGTTTGTAGGGAAGGTTCTTAGTCAAAACCATAGAACCTTCGGGTCTAGGGAGAAGATGTAGGACCTCATTATGTGTTTGCCACCATCCAAAAAGCCTTTTCCCCATGTCCAAGACAATTGTCAATCATTCGAACCCGTGTCTAAGACCTCCGGACAAGCTAGCGATGACAACCGTCCCGTTAACTCTAACATTTAGAGGTTGTTGTCATGGTGAAGAGACGATAGGGCCGAGTGTTGATGATTGTGCACATTCTTTGCACCAAAAAGGTCCCGACCCCACTGATCAAGAGAGTGAGTGATTCATTCTTGCTTTGCATGTCATATCATACCACGGTCATGACCTTTGTTGCCCATTCGTTTGTTCCTTGGACTTGATTGTTATGCATGGTTAGTTGTGGTTGATAAGTGATCTTGTAGGGACTTGCATTGATTCATGAACAAGGTGAGAACTTTTCGTTTGCCCATTTTTGGTAACCTCGAATGTCGTTTGTGGTGGATTTCGGTATTGCTTGCAACGGTCCATGTGTTAATTGCCAATAGCCATTGAGATTTGCCACTTTGTGCCCTTTGATTTGTCATCAAAGCATTTTGTTAGGTTGAGATATTACCTTGTCTGAAATGGTTTGCTTGGGGCAAGCAAATGTCTAAGTGTGGAGGAGTGATTCAGGCCTAATTGTACACTTTTTATCCCCGTTTCTCTTTGACATTTGTTGCAATTTAGCTCCAAAAAGGGGTGGTTTTACGCTAGGTTTCTTGTGTTTCAGTGTGTTTCAGATTATAATAGGTGAAACCAACCCCGGAGTCGAAAGTTGGAAGAAAAGGAGCAAAGACCCGACAAAGTGGAGGAATCAGCCTGTGTTCACGGTCTGCCATTGGAGTTCACGGTCTCCGAGACTGTGAACTGGAACCACAACCCGTGAACCAAGAAGCGTCCAGAGGGGTTTCTGAGGTTACTAACGCCAAGGCTGTTCACGGTCGCTAAGACCGTGAACTGCAACCATAAACCGTGAACCCAAGAAGTGAAGCGGTGCATTTTGGTTCAGCACACTGTGTTCACAGACGCGTTTTGATGTTCACGGCCGTGAACTGGGCTCGATCTTAGTATAAAGAGATAGTTGAAATGAAGAAGAGAGGGAGAGACCTAGTGTGATAAACTTATTCTTCTTCAGATTTATAGAGTGAGAAAGTGACGACCCAAAGAAGAGGAGAAGCTAGGGTTTCATCTCCAAGCAAGGATTTGGGAATTCCTCCCCCAAAGGAGGATCTCTTTATCACAAGGAGCAAGGCTAGCATCTCTTTGATGGTTTCCCTTCTTCTCTCTTGTGTTTTCCCTTCTCCTAGCAGGGAGTAGTCCCTTTTTTCACTTGGGTGTTTATAAACCCTAGCAACAATTATGTGAATGCTTGTATGAATTGAATGATTTGTGCGTAGTTGTGGTTAATGTGAATGTGGAGGTATTATTCATGAATGATTGTGTTGTGTTGTGTTGTGTGAAAGCCTATCAATCTAATTGCCATTCTAACCTAGGTAGAGAGAAAACCCCCTTCCTTTCTTTGAAAATGCTGGGTTTTCGTAGAGGCGGAGATCGTAACCAGACTGTTCGTGATCAACAAGTTTGAGGAGCTCAACGCCATCGTTGCTAAGTGATGGCGGGTGAAGGATCAACGCAAGCATTGGAGAACTCTTTAAGTTATTGATACTTTGTGGTTATGATGTTAAGTTTGGAGATTCATTTCTTTTGTTTCTTTTAATAGTATGATTTAAGTGTTGCCCACGTGTTTAGGGCTTTGCTTTGAATTACTAAGTTATCTAAATTCGCTACTTTTATTCAAGGTTATGTTATTTGAAATTTTTAAATATATCCTGAGGTGAAAATGTCTTGTTCAAGTTTCAAAGTAGTGGGATGTTTCAAAAACTATCCGCTAGATAATGTTTCAAACAATCGAAGTAGTGGTACATGGGCCGACCCGGGTTGATATTTAAACATACTTGTCGTATGTTGCACCCATTTAAGGTTTATACTTGGGCGGGCCTTAGGTGAGATTTTATTGTGATAGTCAGAGCGAGTCAATGTGTAAGGTATGGTTAATGGTAATTGGACCCTTGGGCGGTTGGGCCACTACTGGATGCGATAGATGGTCAGATCACTACTGGACGACAAGACATAATGCAGTGTCATTGCCGAGTTGGGGTATGCAACCAGACGGCGAGATGTAACACGGTTGGCATACTACGGTAGGGACACCAGACGACGACACGTAACGCGGTGGACCCTAGTTTTAAGAGTATAAGTTAAGATAGAAGTAGAGAACTTCTATGAGCACATGATAGAAGTAGAGAACTTCTATAAGCTAGTAAGGAATGATTATTTAAGGGCAGAAAGCGAGAACGACTTTCGTGCTAGGAAGGAAATTTTCTAATAACGTGTTAGTAAGGTTTGTTTAGGCAAAGATCTTAGGAAGTAACGACGAGACTGACCCCTTCTCACTCGCTAGGTTGAGGAAGGGTTAGCCGAGGTAGATCCCGAGAAGAAGCAAGGCGAGGCGAGAAGTCATACTAGCTTTGATGAGAAGTCAAGGAGCTTGTGAGGAGTCAGAGCTAGAATAGTTTAATTACTTTGTTGCATGGTTAGGAGTATAAACTAGAGATTCTGGGTTAAGTTGTTTTAAGTATTTGAATTGTGATTGCCCAAGTGTTAGGGCTTTTCGTTTGAGATTCTTGAATATTATCAGTTTGTCTATTTTAAAAAGTGGTTTAGCTTGCTCCGGAGTAAATGGTTTTTGGTTTTTGAGTTCTGGTTTTGGTTTCAAAAGGATCGGGTTGTTTCAAGGGAGAGATGCTATTATGCAATGAAAGAAATTGCAAGAGTTTGGTGCAATGTGCATGAACGGAGAAAAAAGAGACCGAAAAATGACAACTCCTACACCAAAAAAAAAAAGAATAAAAGGCACCACTTGTAGTTCCATTAGTCGTTTGTTGTCGCAGAATCCCCCGAAGCACATTTTGAATGATCGGTCTAAGGTAGTATATATGGTCCTCACATGAGAGTTTCTGCTTGCACAATGGAAAGGTAGTAGTGTTTATTCATCCCCGTATACTCTTATCTATGCAAAGAAGAACTAGCATGCATATTGCATTAAGTTTTAGTAGGTTTGCTTGGGGACAAGCAAACGCCTAAGTGTGGGGGAGTTTGATAACACCAAAATTGGTGTTATTTGCCCTCCATCTTAAGGTATATTTTGTGAAAATTCATGTACTTAAGTGTTTAAACAATGTCAAATACACCCCTATTTCGTTCCTATTTGATTTTGATGTGATTATAGGGTGTCTTAGTCAATATGTGCAAATTAGGTACAAAACAAGGTCACGAGTGTAGAAAAGGGGCAAGGATAAAAAATTGTGGCCTAGAAGCTGACTCGACTCCTACTGTCACCCTAGAAAATGGCCAAGTATAACCACTTCCTAAAGCGTAGTATAGCGGGTCGGGTTTTAATGTCAACCCAGGTCCTAGATGTGATGACTACTCGGTGAATTCTTGTTATTTAGCAGTGAACTTTTAGTGAAACTCAAGCAAACAAAACACAAAGCAAGTAAACGGTTTGTTGTCAAGTCAAGAGAGGTCACCCGGATATGGTTTCCCCCTAGACTGCAGTTAAGTCGGATTGCATTTTACCAAGTTCAGTTTTCATGAAAGTTATACTGCGGAAGGTTCTCAATTAGCCTGAAGTCTCGACTAAAGGTCTCCAGACCCTCTCAATCTGAGTCTCTAGCGGGCGACTAACCTCCACCGGAGTAAACAGATTGAGGCCCTAATGAACCAAACCTCCACTACCGAATCGACTTCGGTACAGAATAGCGAATTGGCTCCTCGACTAAAGTCACCAATTCGCTACCTTCGATTAAGGGTACTCTATCAACCTAGGCAGATATTCTCATTCCAGGTCAAAGCAGAAACAACAGGAATTTGATCAGGATTCAAGTCATTCAATCAATCAAACCTCAATCGAATATAATCAATTCACAAACACTGTACTTGGGTTCATACAATCAGACCTAGCATACAAATCTAGGGTTCTCCATACCCAGATGAATGGGGAAACTACTCCATAGAGAAAGAAGCAAAAGCAGATTCAGACACGGAAATCATACTGTGAAGTTGGATTCCTGCTTCTGGACGTTTAATCGCACTTCTCCAAGCTCAAGACGGGCTCCAATGGTGTTGAAGATCGATCTATGGCGCTTGAGAACTCTGGTTCGACGCTTTCTCTCTCTAGGTATCGGTTTCTCTCTCAAAAACTCGGAACTCCCTGAAAATTGGCCTTCTTCCTGTTTTATCAGCTGCCTGTCGCGATACCCGGTCAAAATACCCGGTCGGGTATTTTATGGTTCGACCGGGTATTTTATGAAACGCACCGTCTGACTAAGGGAAAAATCCCCGGTCTACCACCAAAATCCCCGACCGGGGATTTATCGCCATCGCCCGGGCCCCCTTCTGCTTCTCACGGGTGCCCGAAGGAGGAAATACCCGGTCGAGGCCAGAATATACCCGGTCGGGTATTTCTTCCTTTGACCGGGTATTTTGGTCCAGCAGCATCCTTTGTCCAATCTTCGCTCCTTTCGATCCAGAACTCGTTCCTTCGCCTCGATTCCAACGCCAGGACCTGAAATATGACATAAACACACAACCTAGCGTAAAATCGGCTTAAAATACGAGATTCCTCATCACAAACGACTTCAGAATAGGGGTGAAAACATGTATGATTATCGGTCTATCAAACTCCCCCACACTTAACCGTTTGCTTGTCCCCAAGCAAACCTAACTCAAACCAATGCAACTCTCCAGACCTCTATAGCAACAAACAACCTCGATCGTAGGTAGAGGACTTCCTAGATCATTTAGCAACCTACGAGGTCAACCGACGCACAAGTCATCTCATAGCTTCTTCGGCGAGAGCACTAGTCTCGAGTCAGCATCATGGCAAATAGTGAACAGAGGACAAATGAATCGTGGATGAAGAGACTCTCAAAAACAAAAGATCATGGACTCACATTTTTCAAGGTGCTCGATTTTCTTCTTAAAGATGGTTGGAACCCCCTTTTCTTCCTTCTTTTTACTTGTTTTTCTGTTTTTTCTATTTTCTTTTCAAGGGTTCCAACCTGTTTTTGCAGAAAACGGGGGCTCCCACCTAGCAAAGGTTTTGCGGGAGCCCGGCTCTTACCGGCCATGCCAGGAGCAGTTGTCTCGAGCCTCGTGCGGGGGAAAGACATGTAAGGGGGCTGGAGGTAGTAGGTGGAAATTGGGAACGGATTCCCGTCTCCCCTTACACACTTTCGCCATATTCGCACGGGAGACGTTATTTTAAAGCACATTTCGAGCACCTGTTACTTTCAAAACATGATACAAGAGTCCATGACAGGCAAAGAGTCCACAATACCACACGATTCAAGGGTCCTAAGATCACTAATTCACTCAATCAACCAACACAATATGAAGAAGAAATGAGACTTCTTAAATGCATCAACATCCTCCATAGTGCTACACTACCTCCCTAGGTTGCAAATCACTACAGAGACTGTCAATTCAAAGCATACTGAGCAGGCACTTGCAAGGAACACATACTTGGAGCCCTCAAATTTAAAAATTTGGACAGTGGACTAGGCTCCAAGCACACAAACAGATCTAATGCAGTCAAAAGATAAACATCCCCCCACACTTAAGATCGACATTGCCCTCAATGGAGAAGAGGGAAGGAAAGGGGAACGATGTTACCGCTATGCACGGACTGCAGAGGACTGGAAATGGACCAGTCGGGAGCACAACACAGCTCAAGGGGAACAGAAGAGCACAACCAGAATATGTTAGGTCCGATGTCAGCCCAATAAGACATCATCCAGAACAAATGAAACAAACCAAAATAAAACCAAATCGCAATCCGACTCGAAACATAAGAAAGAAAGTCAAACCGTGGTGGGGTTGCCTCCCCACAAGCGCTTCTTTACCGTCTTTTAGCTGGACGCCCATGGTGGATACTCAGTGAGGTGCAGGAACAGGTGCCTCCAAGAGCGGATCCACATCGCTCTTGAGGTACAGCTTCAGGTGGTGACCGTGCACCCGACGGTTGCAACCACCAGCAGAAGTCAGCTCGACCTGGCCATCCGGCAAGATGCAGGCGAGTGAGTACTCGGACGGCCAGGGTGGTCGTGGTGCGGGGGGTGGGACCAGCTCGTAGTGGTCTCCACCTTTCTTCCTTGCAGGCTTAGCCACCTGCGGCTTCGGCCGCCACTCCTCCTTGTGCTTTTTGTTCGGAGGCGAGGCTGGATGGAGTGGCGGCGAAGGAATGATAGGGGGGTCCTGCAAAATGAGAGGTGCAGAAGGATACACGACAGGCTCGTGTACCTGATCAGAAATAGCATGCACAGGCGATACAGAAATCATAGCACAGTGATCAAACTCAGTCACAGAAAAAGTAGCCTGTTCATTCCCAGCACGCAGAATTAGCTTACCATCATGCACATCAATCAATGCCTTGGCGGTGGCAAGAAATGGTCTACCCAAAATCAAAGGCACATCCACATCATCATTTATATCCAGAATCACAAAATCAACAGGATATGTGAATGCACCCACATTAACAAGCAAATCTTCTATGATACCCCTAGGATGCACCACGGAACGATCAGCTAGCTGTATGCTCATCCTAGTAGGGCTAAGTTCACCTAGGTCTAGCTTTTTGAACAACTTATATGGCATGACATTTATGCTAGCACCTAGGTCCGCCAAGGACTTGCCTACATGCATGCTGCCAATAGTAAGAGGGATAGTAAAACTCCCTGGATCCTTACGCTTCTCGGGCAGCTTGTTCTGCAGGACAGCAAAACACTCCTCGCTCAGCAGCACTGTCGAGAGATCCCCAAGTTTCTTCTTGTTGGTGCAGAGATCTTTCATGAACTTAGCGTACTTGGGCATCTTCGACAGTGCCTCCACAAATGGTATGCTGATGTTGAGCTGCTTCAACATTGCCATAAAATTGGCAAACTCAGTCTCCAGCTTGTCCTTGTGAAGGCGAGTGGGGAAGGGAAGCTGGGGTACGTACTCCTTCACCACTGGTTGTGGCTTGGGAGCAGGGGCTTCCTTCTCCACCCGCACTTCTGCATCACCGGCTGGAAGTGCTGAAGCAGGTAATGGTTCCTCCTGCCTGGTCGGGGCAGGATCAGCTGATGTAGGCCTGCCGCTCAGGGTGAAAATGGCATGTGCGGTCTCATGCGGGTCCCGTGGATTAGGGACAGTGGTGGCAGGAAGAGTCCCCGGGGCCCGAGCAGTAAGCTGGCGCGCTAGGACACCGACTTGGTGTTGTAGATCTTGCAAAATAGCACCCTGGTTCCTCTGCCCTGCCTCCAAAGAAGCGATGCTCTGGTCCACCCTTGCGAAATTCGCCTGGCTGGTGGTCATGAATGTCGCCAAAATGTTCTTCAGATCAGCCATCTGATTATCGGGAGCTGCGGCTGCTGGAGGCTGAGCAAACTGGCCCTGGGGCTGCTGGAATGGCTGCCCTTGCCTAGGCTGGTAGGGCTGCTGCTGTGGTGGTGGCCCTTGCCTATCCTGGTAGGGCTGCCTCTGCTGAAAACCACCTGCTGGTGCTGGGAAACCAGGTGGTTTGTTGGTGTTGTTGCTCCAGGCGAAGTTGGGATGCTGGCGCCATCCCTCATTGTATGTGTTACTGTATGGGTCGAAGCGCCGAGCATTGGCGATGAAGGCCACCTGCTCTTGGGGAGTAGAGGACTCCCGCATAGCCTGGCAGTCCTCCACCAGATGGTTTGGACTCTCACACCACTGGCACTGAGCTACTGGAGGCGCAGCTACACCTCGGCCCGGAAGGATACTGTTAGGCTGCTTCAGTGTCTGCACCAACTCAGCCACCTGCTGCTCTAACCCGGATCTGGCCTCCATAGCATGCACACCACGGTCCCGGGAGTGCCTGCCTCTGCTGCTCTGCCCCCAGGAGTGATCGCGGGCAGCTAAAGTACTGATCATCTGGTTCAGCTCGGGTGGAGTCTTAGTAAGGATATCCCCTCCTGGGCATAGAGACTCGATCACCCTCTGGCTGTCTGGGGTGATGGCACTGTAGAAGTTCCCCACTGTGAAAGCATCGCTGAAGCCATGATGGGGACACTGCCAGAAGTATCCCATGTACCGCTCCCATGCATCACGGAGGGACTCATCTGGCTCTTGGCGGAAGTGAGTGATCTCCCGCTGAATCTCAGTAGTCTTCGATGCCGGATAATATCTGTGCACGAACTTATCCGCCAGATCGTCCCAAGAAGTGATGGACAGTGGGGGCTGGGTCTCCAACCACCTCTTAGCATTCCCCGCCAGAGAATGGGGGAAGAGGTGAAGGCGGATCGCATCATCCGGAACACCATTCAGCTTGAAACCGTTTGTCAGCTGCAGAAAACGGGAAAGGTGTGCCCGGGCTTCCTCATCCTTCAAGCCATGGAACTGGATAGAGGATGTGATGAGCTGAATCCAGCCTGGCTTGATCTCGAAGTTATTTGCTGGGATGGGCGGATAGAGGATGACCGGGCGGATGTCAGCAATCCGTGGAGTGTAGTAGTACTCCAAGGTGGGACCCGGTGGTGGTGGTGGATGCTGATTCACCGGGGGAGCCTGTCGAGCATTCCCCGGTTGTGGGATGTCTTCGCCCTCCATCTCGTACTCTTCCTCAGAATCGCTGGTCAAGTGGCCGTCTATGCGCTCTCCCGTAACCAGTCTAGCTCGCTGCTGTCTCCTAAGTTGGCGGAAAGTGCGTTCAAGCTCTGGATCCAACGGTAGTAAACCTCCTGACTGGCTACGGGTCATGCACTACCTGCACACACTCAAGCAAGCAAACCCGTGAAGGCACAAGTGGGACAAAGCAAAAACTCAATGCAAAAATGGAAATGCTAAAGTAACAGAAATCACTTTTCTTCAACAACCTAGCCGTTCCCCGGCAACGGCGCCAAAAACTTGACTCGACTCCTACTGTCACCCTAGAAAATGGCCAAGTATAACCACTTCCTAAAGCGTAGTATAGCGGGTCGGGTTTTAATGTCAACCCAGGTCCTAGATGTGATGACTACTCGGTGAATTCTTGTTATTTAGCAGTGAACTTTTAGTGAAACTCAAGCAAACAAAACACAAAGCAAGTAAACGGTTTGTTGTCAAGTCAAGAGAGGTCACCCGGATATGGTTTCCCCCTAGACTGCAGTTAAGTCGGATTGCATTTTACCAAGTTCAGTTTTCATGAAAGTTATACTGCGGAAGGTTCTCAATTAGCCTGAAGTCTCGACTAAAGGTCTCCAGACCCTCTCAATCTGAGTCTCTAGCGGGCGACTAACCTCCACCGGAGTAAACAGATTGAGGCCCTAATGAACCAAACCTCCACTACCGAATCGACTTCGGTACAGAATAGCGAATTGGCTCCTCGACTAAAGTCACCAATTCGCTACCTTCGATTAAGGGTACTCTATCAACCTAGGCAGATATTCTCATTCCAGGTCAAAGCAGAAACAACAGGAATTTGATCAGGATTCAAGTCATTCAATCAATCAAACCTCAATCGAATATAATCAATTCACAAACACTGTACTTGGGTTCATACAATCAGACCTAGCATACAAATCTAGGGTTCTCCATACCCAGATGAATGGGGAAACTACTCCATAGAGAAAGAAGCAAAAGCAGATTCAGACACGGAAATCATACTGTGAAGTTGGATTCCTGCTTCTGGACGTTTAATCGCACTTCTCCAAGCTCAAGACGGGCTCCAATGGTGTTGAAGATCGATCTATGGCGCTTGAGAACTCTGGTTCGACGCTTTCTCTCTCTAGGTATCGGTTTCTCTCTCAAAAACTCGGAACTCCCTGAAAATTGGCCTTCTTCCTGTTTTATCAGCTGCCTGTCGCGATACCCGGTCAAAATACCCGGTCGGGTATTTTATGGTTCGACCGGGTATTTTATGAAACGCACCGTCTGACTAAGGGAAAAATCCCCGGTCTACCACCAAAATCCCCGACCGGGGATTTATCGCCATCGCCCGGGCCCCCTTCTGCTTCTCACGGGTGCCCGAAGGAGGAAATACCCGGTCGAGGCCAGAATATACCCGGTCGGGTATTTCTTCCTTTGACCGGGTATTTTGGTCCAGCAGCATCCTTTGTCCAATCTTCGCTCCTTTCGATCCAGAACTCGTTCCTTCGCCTCGATTCCAACGCCAGGACCTGAAATATGACATAAACACACAACCTAGCGTAAAATCGGCTTAAAATACGAGATTCCTCATCACAAACGACTTCAGAATAGGGGTGAAAACATGTATGATTATCGGTCTATCCATTTCTTTTGTTTCTTTTAATAGTATGATTTAAGTGTTGCCCACGTGTTTAGGGCTTTGCTTTGAATTACTAAGTTATCTAAATTCGCTACTTTTATTCAAGGTTATGTTATTTGAAATTTTTAAATATATCCTGAGGTGAAAATGTCTTGTTCAAGTTTCAAAGTAGTGGGATGTTTCAAAAACTATCCGCTAGATAATGTTTCAAACAATCGAAGTAGTGGTACATGGGCCGACCCGGGTTGATATTTAAACATACTTGTCGTATGTTGCACCCATTTAAGGTTTATACTTGGGCGGGCCTTAGGTGAGATTTTATTGTGATAGTCAGAGCGAGTCAATGTGTAAGGTATGGTTAATGGTAATTGGACCCTTGGGCGGTTGGGCCACTACTGGATGCGATAGATGGTCAGATCACTACTGGACGACAAGACATAATGCAGTGTCATTGCCGAGTTGGGGTATGCAACCAGACGGCGAGATGTAACACGGTTGGCATACTACGGTAGGGACACCAGACGACGACACGTAACGCGGTGGACCCTAGTTTTAAGAGTATAAGTTAAGATAGAAGTAGAGAACTTCTATGAGCACATGATAGAAGTAGAGAACTTCTATAAGCTAGTAAGGAATGATTATTTAAGGGCAGAAAGCGAGAACGACTTTCGTGCTAGGAAGGAAATTTTCTAATAACGTGTTAGTAAGGTTTGTTTAGGCAAAGATCTTAGGAAGTAACGACGAGACTGACCCCTTCTCACTCGCTAGGTTGAGGAAGGGTTAGCCGAGGTAGATCCCGAGAAGAAGCAAGGCGAGGCGAGAAGTCATACTAGCTTTGATGAGAAGTCAAGGAGCTTGTGAGGAGTCAGAGCTAGAATAGTTTAATTACTTTGTTGCATGGTTAGGAGTATAAACTAGAGATTCTGGGTTAAGTTGTTTTAAGTATTTGAATTGTGATTGCCCAAGTGTTAGGGCTTTTCGTTTGAGATTCTTGAATATTATCAGTTTGTCTATTTTAAAAAGTGGTTTGGCTTGCTCCGGAGTAAATGGTTTTTGGTTTTTGAGTTCTGGTTTTGGTTTCAAAAGGATCGGGTTGTTTCAAGGGAGAGATGCTATTATGCAATGAAAGAAATTGCAAGAGTTTGGTGCAATGTGCATGAACGGAGAAAAAAGAGACCGAAAAATGACAACTCCTACACCAAAAAAAAAAGAATAAAAGGCACCACTTGTAGTTCCATTAGTCGTTTGTTGTCGCAGAATCCCCCGAAGCACATTTTGAATGATCGGTCTAAGGTAGTATATATGGTCCTCACATGAGAGTTTCTGCTTGCACAATGGAAAGGTAGTAGTGTTTATTCATCCCCGTATACTCTTATCTATGCAAAGAAGAACTAGCATGCATATTGCATTAAGTTTTAGTAGGTTTGCTTGGGGACAAGCAAACGCCTAAGTGTGGGGGAGTTTGATAACACCAAAATTGGTGTTATTTGCCCTCCATCTTAAGGTATATTTTGTGCAAATTCATGTACTTAAGTGTTTAAACAATGTCAAATACACCCCTATTTCGTTCCTATTTGATTTTGATGTGATTATAGGGTGTCTTAGTCAATATGTGCAAATTAGGTACAAAACAAGGTCACGAGTGTAGAAAAGGGGCAAGGATCAAAAATCGTGGCCTAGAAGCCAAAGATCACGGTCGGGATCTCCAGTCGTGAAGACTTGCTGAAGTTCGCGGCATAGAAGTCAAAGATCGCGACCACGATCTTGAAGGCCCAGGGCGCGAACTTTGCGAAGAAGGAGCCTTGGAGAAGTAGAGAATTTCCCCAGTCGCGTCACGGCCAACGTTCAACTTGCCCGCGAGGAAGATCAAAGTCACGACTCGAGGATCGCGAGCGCGAAGTTAGTCTGCGATCTTCCCCCTTTAGAAGGCCATGATGACTGTAACACCCCGAACTTTTTCCCGACAAGATACTGTCCGCTTTGGGCCTCTACACCCGCACGGTTTTCGACTTGGGGTGCAATTCTGGGTGACTTCCCATAAGGTCACCCATCCTTGTTGTGCTCCGCATTGAACACGTTTAACTTCGGAGTTCTCACAAGAACTCCTCCATTACACCCCAAAACACGTCTTGTCAGTTAATGTCGGTTTCCTACTTATGAACCATGGATCTCTCCCGTGCTTTGTCGATGTGGGATTTGCCTAAGGTGTTACATATGGTATCAGAGCCGGCACTCCTCTGTTCCTTGGCCTCCAAGGAATACTGGAGTGACGATCTGCATTTTTAAGGTTTCAGTTTTTAAAAGGAAAGGAAAAAGGGAGTGTCAGTTAAAAGTTTGGCCAAACGAGTCAGAGTCTTTCGGAAATTTTAAGAATCTCTAGTATACTCTAATCATGATAAGGAAATAACTTTAGGATGCCCTATGGGGTTATGATACGTCTTGGGAAGGAGAAGGAGCAGGTTCCTAGAGGGATCATTTTGTGAAACCCCTTCATGAGTGAGAAGAGGAGGGTCAATGTAGCTCATATTCTATGGGGATGTGAGCTGATCAGAATAAGGTTCTGGAAGGAGCCAAGGAGTTAGGCAAATTTCGCCATAATCGAGAGGAAAGGGTGCAAGGAAGGGTCGTGGAGTTCATGAGAATTGAACATAGGGCTACAACCCCAAGGAGCAGCTGAAAGTTAGACTTTGAAAAATACTAGGGCCACCTAAGCAAGCAAAGGAAGAACTAAGCATATCATAGGGAGCCTAACTAGATGTCATGGGATCAATACATCAAGGCTAGAAGGAGGTACAACTCCTTGCAAAGAGATTATCACAAGTGAAACTTGGAGTCGTCACAACAAACAAATTTCGAGGTCGAAATTTTTCTTAAGGAGGGGGGAAATGTGAGGTCTCGATTTTGGATTTAGGTTCAACAGCAACTACCAGGAGAATCGGATCAACGTGACAAGCCGAAGTGGCATTTTGTTTCACCATGTTTGGATCAAGCTGGGAAGTAAAGAAGGGTAGTGAGACACTTATGGTCACACGAGTGCTGCAAGCTAAGGAAACTTATTTTAGCAAAAGGTACCAACGAAGTTGTTATAGTGAGAATAGATGATTGTGGGAAAGAAGAAAAAGAAGGGTGTTGATGGAAGGACGAGTTCCGAGCAAATTTCGGGGACAAAACTTTTTATAAGGGTGGAGGAAATGTAACACCTCGAACCTTTTCCCGACAAGATACTGTCCGCTTTGGGCCTCTACACCCGCACGGTTTTCGACTTGGGGTGCAATTCTGGGTGACTTCCCATAAGTTCACCCATCCTTGTTGTGCTCCGCACTGAGCACGTTTAACTTCGGAGTTCTCACAAGAACTCCTCCATTACACCCCAAAACGAGTCTTGTCAGTTAAGGTCGGTTTCCTACTTATGAACCATGGATCTCGGGAGCAAGGACGATCTTCCCCAACTTCAAGTTTTCTTCTATTTCTACAATGTATCTTCTTCCCTCCTTTATGGAGTAGTCCTCTAAGGTAATAGGGGTTCTAAACCCCAAACCCTAGTTTAGGGTTTATTATGTATGTATGAATATTTTTGAATGAATGAATGTGTTTGTCTAGTAGATACTTAATACCACTCTTTCCTAAATGATGACGCTTGAGCAACTGGCCCCAATCTCCCCTCTTAGCCTGCTTTATGCTACCGCGTTGGGTACGGAGTTCTAGAGTTAGACAGGTATGCGCCATCTGGTGAGTTTAGGTTTGATTAGTGAATGGGGGCCTATAGTGGTCGAGTCGACCGAACCCCTGCTATAGGTAGCCTTCCTAGATGAAACCCGAGATGAAACCTCGGTGTGGACGGTGGATAGTGTCCATTGAAATGAGACATAAGTTTAATGCCCCATTTACGATAGCCTAGATCGAGGTGAATGAAACATGGGTTTAGGGGAGGCATACTCGGAGGCGTGTGGATAACGTCGAAGGCCCACGGAAAAGAGCTCACTCACCACATTCAATAATCCTAAGTATCTTACATGCATAGTATCCCTAAGCTAGGGGGAGGATTAGTTCCCCGAAGTACCTACTTTTAGCGTTGATCAACCTCTAGTGTTTCCTCATATCCTCCACTCAAAACCTCAAAAACCCATTACCTAATTAACAACTAGGTGGGAAGTAGGCTAGGATACTAGGAGCTGAGTAGAATACGATCTGATTAACACTATACGACATTGTCGTCCTAGGTTAAACTTGGTTTAGGATGAGATAGTTGTTGATACGTGCAAACCATTGACAATAACTTGCACGGATTCAAGTGATCAGCTAGTCTTTTCTTTTAGATTCCGTATAATTATTTTAGTTGTACCGATTTGTAATTACAGTCTAAGTGGACTAAATTGCATATTAGTAAACTAGCTTTTTACTTTCTTTTTCCATAAAACATTTATTAAAATTTAAAGTGATCTTCTTTTGATCATTATTAGGAAAACTCAATAAGAAAGAATTTATTTATTATAAAAACGATATAGGTTTTATTATTCTTACATGTTATTAAATGGATTCGAAACTAAAACCTTCATGTGGTTGAAGTCCTCTAAATCAAGCTATTGTCCACCTTCATGTTAGAATTTTGTAGCTTGAAC